TTGGTGTCATCAGAACAAGAATTTACCTTGAAATGTACCTATCAAGTTCTGTGCTTTTTACTTACTGTTCCTTCCCCTGTAAAAAATGAAAACAAAGCAAAAAGAAAAAAAAAGACCAACAAAATTAATCTCTTGGATTCCTACTGGATTTCTTTAAGGGGGTTGCCACATTGCTTCCTTACAGTTATGCATGAATTTGTATAAATGCATTAATCCTTTTATTTAGGGCTATGGGAATATGTTATACATTTGGAAGGCTATTCCAAGTGAGTGATTTGTGAATGCAGTGTTATTAAAGTTAATCTTGAGAGCGTATTGAAAGTGTTTGCATTGGGAAAATACCCAGCCACAACATAATTTTGCTATGGGATTTGCATTGATACCCAAAGCTAGTCTCTGGCCTCCAAAAATTGCAGTAGATCAGAAAGCATTGGAAATGAAACTTTTTAATTTGTAAACAGGTAGTTGGATGTACTTTTCTTCTTCCCAGCCTTATCACCCATAGTACTCTGATTCGTAAAATTGCTTTGACATTTGGTACTTGATTGTCTTTTGGATTCAATTCAAATTTGACTTTGTTTTTCAGACCTGGATAGGTTAGGGAAAAGTACTTGAGAACTAGTAAAAGCCTTTAGTGCTTTTAAGAGTCATCTTTAAAACAGTGTAATTGCATCTGTTCTAATGAGATATAATATGGTGGGGGAGGCATACGTATCAGAGGAGGTATATTTGCTCAAGTATGCGTCCTTTTGAAATCGGCTCCTGCTGCATCTTGCTTGCTTATTTTGGTGCTCCTTCAAGAACAAGGGGTAAGAATTGCAGCTGAGTTTGATGTTAGAGCTTGGAGCTGCTGGCACAGGAAGGTACATCAGAGTCCAGGCTAAAAAAACTGTTGAATGTCTCTGGACTCTTCTCACTGACTTCGGGAGCCTTCGTGCTGGGCCTGGGCAGTAACCTCTAGCCAGGGATACATCTCGGACAACCAGCATAATAAGCAGTGGGTGTACTTGCTAACATGCTTTTAACATTCTAGTAAGGTTCAGAAAGCTTAGAAAAATGAGAAGGCTATGTTAATTATGAATGTACAACCAATGCACAAGAAAAAACTGCTGGAAGTAACATGGAAATTAAGTACGCTGCTGTTTATTTCCTTGCATCTCCAATGCTGAGTCCACTTGTGGTGAACAAATCTTGTTTCAAAATATTGGTATGTGTAGGATCTGTGCTCCCCTACCCTGGAGAAACGGGGGTTGTCAGGGGCTTTCTGGTGAGCTTTAGGTTGGGCTAGAGCAACTGTGTCGTTGTCAGAGGGCCCTTAAATAACCTATGGCACTAAAGAGTCAATATATAATGAAATAGGCATTAAAGGGTTAATACAGAATGAAAAAAACTCTGCCATGCACCTTCCCAGATTTGGCCTCTCAGGGGAGCAAAGGTAAAGGATCCTGCTGTTCATTCCTGCATTGTCAGGAGATTTGCAACCCCGTCGTAGTCCTACAAGGGCTGGCGTTTGTCTTCTCTTCACCAGGAATTAGCTTCAGCTGTAGAGTCTGTAATGTTGCCTGTGGTACCTGACTGTCCCGCTGCAGTGTTTGCCCTCCATAACAGTGGCAACACAGAGAAATGTTACCGAGTTAAGAGAAGAGTGAGGGAATGGCACAGAGCCTACAGTTAAGAGGTGGTAGGTACTGTATCAAGATGTATTTGTTGACAGTTTATTTAAGAAATATAAATGCCAAATTGTTCTCAGTGTGTCTAATTAGTCTGGGGAGGTAAGCTCGAAGGCTGCTCGCTTTGTATTTGTATAGTTTTATTTCTCATTAACCATATTGCTGCAGAGGTACTCATCTGTTCAGACAGCATCAGTATGCCTTTACTTGAACTCTGTCTGCAGGCGTAAAAGGGAGAAAGGCACTTCGCTGCAAAAATTAATGCTTTACAGTGAAAATAGGTGCTGGAGTGCCTTTTACTATGAATACAGCCTGTGGTTTTGATGGGTACTCTTAGCTGTTTGATGGAGGGGGTTGGTAAGAGCATAGAATAGATTATAAAACTGGAGCAGGCTAGGAAGTAGTCTCCAACTGAAAAAACATGTTGTCTGCTTCTTTTATGTTTCTCCTGATAGAACAGAGCATTAGGGAATAAAAAATGCATGAGCAGTGAGAACTTTTCAATTGGAAAAATAAATAAATTAAAGCAACATAATCCAAATATGGGAATCCAAGACCTCTGAATTCTTATAAATAAGATATTCTGGCTGCCAACCTGAGGTTTTCAACTTATCTACATGAAGTTCTATGACTTTAATTAAAATGTAATAAATTTAAAGAAGGTGAAGGGATGTATTTAAACACGGGATTCACTGCCTTACTGTAAAAGGCTTTCTCTTGAGAGAGAAGATGGCGTGGTGGCAGTGTTATGCAGCTAGGTAACTTCCTCTCAGCATTTGAATATGATTTTGTGACCCACATTGCTTCTCTGCTCTTTAAACCTCGGCAGAAGCTGTCAGAGGAAATGATTACTCGGGTCGAGTGCTGTAATTGTGCATTAAAGATGCTCACAACTTCAGATCTGTGGTATTGTGGATTGGAAGTTAATTTTCACCTACCGATTGTCCCTTTTGTTTGACAGAAAGGCTGTAAACTTTTTAGCTAAGAGAGATCTCCAGCTGGCGTATCACGTTGGCTGCTGTCAGGCCTGTATCGTTACAGTTATTGTAGTTAAGCTGCAAGGAAATGTTCAGGATGCATTCAGCATTACTTGATAAAAGTTTGGGTTTTTTTTCTTTTTAAAGATGT